CTCGAGACCGGAGAAGCAAGGGCTCCCACGAGGGCGCGAAGTTATTCGCGCTTCGCGGTCCTCGTTCCTTCTCCCACTCCTCCTCGTCCTCCTTTTCTCCCTTTGGGGGGGGCGGCGCGAGAGCGAAGGGAGGCGCCAGCCAGCGGCAGCGGCGCCGACGGAGGAGAGGGGGGGGGGCCGGGGAGGGAGGCGGCAGCGGCCCAGCAGCAGCCAGGGCGAGGCCCGAGGGCCCGAGGGCGAGGAGCAGCGGGACGGGCAGGCGAGGCAGAAGGAGGAGGAGGAGGAGGAGGAGGAGGAGGAGGAGGAGGAGGGGGAGGAGGAAGGGGAGGAGGAGGTAGGGCTCGCACGTGGCCCTCCACCCTCCGAGGGAGAATGAGGGGGAGGCATGCAGGACGAAGCCAGGACGAGGATCAACTCGGGCGAGGAGAAACTCCAGAATCCCGGAGAGATCCGGCGGCTCTGGAGGATCTGTCGGGCGACGCGGGCCTTTTCGGAGCCTTCCGGAACGCTCCGGAACGGTTTTATCCTCGTCCTAGCCCCATCCTAGCATGTGCAATCAAATTCGCCGGCCCAACGGGCCAGAGGCGTTCTGAGATCTCTGGCTACTGGTACACGATACTTCTAGTTCGCGCGCGCAGGGCGGCTCCTGGGGGTCCCCAGACGACAAGTACCCCAGGCGGTCCGACCCAGAGATGGTTTTTCCAACTGGGCGCGGCAATCAGGCGCCCCAGAGCGCTCCTGGAGGGCCCCAAGAGTCCCCAAGACGGTCCAAGAGGGCTCCGAGTCGCCGACCGATCGGTCCAAGACGCCCAAGATAGCCTCCAGACGGCCGCAGACGCCCCCAAGACGCCCAAAGAGGCCTCGAAGAAGCGTCTCAAGAGGGCCCCAGTATGCAAAAGCCATAGATTTCCATTTGGTTTTGAAGGACTTGGGCGTTCTCGTCTGTGCGGCTTCCCGACGCTCAAAGACGGCCCAAGAGACCCAAAATATCGTCCCAAGACGGCCCAAGAGGCCTCCAAGAGAGTCCAACAGGGCCCAAGAGGGCCCCCAGGGGCCCCCAGACGGCCCAAGACGCCTCCAAGACGGCCCAAGATATCCCCAGAACGGCCCCAAGAGGGGGTCAGACGGGGAACCCGAACGGACATCTCGAGCCCTCGGCACCAAAAGGCGCCCAGGAGGCCCCAAGAAGCCCCCAAGAGCCCTCCAAGAGGCCCCCAAACGGCTCCCAAGAGGCCCCAAGAGGCCACGAACGCTCAAGCAAACGCCTGCAATGCACAATACGGGCTGGCGAATGAGCGAAACGATTAATAAGACGAAACCATGGGACCGGGACAAAATAGGCCGGGGAGAAATCGGAGACTTCTGAGATCCGACGGTTCTGGAGGATGTCTCAGGCACTGCGGCCGTTCCAGAGGGCTCCAGAACGCTCTGAGAGCGTTCCAGAACCCTCTGGAAGGTTTTATCCCGGTTAGGGAGCCAGATGCGACCCCTACCCCACCCTCCCCCTCAGAAATCGTAGGGGGTAGGGGTAGGGTTCGCATGTGGCCCCCTTCCTGTCCTAGCCACCAAGACGCCTGGGGAGCCCCGAGCCCACCAAGTCTTGGTTGGCATCTTGAGGAGACGGAGGAGGGAGAGTGGAAGGGGGACATGCCAGGTGCGCTCGCGCCATATCTCAAATCCTACCCCTCCCACCCATCCCTTCCCGATGCGCTGATTTGCCTCTATCCGCCGACTGCTGTCATAGCGAACCTGGAACTCCAAAGAGGACCCCATCGTGTTACGCGCCATCGGCCAGCGTACACTGCAGGAAGAACAGTAGGGCAATGAGGAAGGAAAACAAGGACGAGGACGAACATTAGCAGAAGGAGCTGGAGTGGGGGAGAGCCAGGATGGCCAAGGAAAGGCGGGGGGGAAAAAGAGGGGGGGGCAACGATGAATGCCTCGGATCCCAAAAAAGGTGGCCCGCGCTGGGGCGAGAGTGCCATTCTGAAAAAGAGGAGCAAAGCGTCGATTCATGAGGCCAAAGCTGCAGCGGCAACACCATTCTAAAGGACCCACAGCGATCGGATGGCAAAAAACAGCAACCATAAACAATGCTGGGGATATCACAGTCGTCGGCCTGACGGGCCAGAGACGCGCTAAGACCTCCGTTTACAGGTGTAGAAGGTTTCAAGTTCGCGCGCGTGGGCAGCCCCTGGGGGTCTCTGGGCGACAAGTACCCTTAAGTCGGGCGTGTCCCCCTACAGGGGGATTTTGGGCGAAAAATAAAAATACCCAACATACTCCAGAATGGTTGATTAATACAAACAAAATCTCCTATTATTTTTTTGGCTATCTTTGAATATTCCTCCTGTAGAGGGGCAGGCCCGACTTAAAAGTACCCTGGCCGATCTCCAACAAGGTCCCATCAGAGGTGGTTCTGGTCCTGGGCGCCGCCCTCGGGGCTCCCCAGGGCGGCTCCAGAAGGGCCGCGAGGCCCCCAAGAAGACCCAGGGAGTGCTCCGAGAGGGCTCAAGACCGCTCCAAGACACGTGAGATGGCCCCCAGACAACCCATGAGGCCTCCACGACGCCCTGAGAAGCCTCCCAGCGCACTCCCCCCAGAGCGCCCCAATAATCACAAGTCATAGATGTTCCTTAGGATGTTGAGCGATTCCGGCGATCTCGCCATTTCGGATTCCCGACGCTCCGACATGGCCCCAGGAGCCCCCAAGATCGCCCCAAGACGGCTCCAGAGGTCTCCACAAGGGCCTGAAGACGACCCAAGAAGGCCCCAAGACGGACCAAGAGGCCTCCAAGACGGCCCAAAAAGGGCCCTAGGACGGCCCCAAGAGAAGGCCTGTTCTCGCCATTTCGGCTTCCCGATGCTCCAGGACGGCCCCAAAGGCCCCCAAGATCCCCCCAAGACGGCTCCAGAAGCCTCCAACAGGGCCTGAAGACGCTCAGAGAGGGCGCCCAGGAGGCCCCCAGAGCCCCCAAGAGTCTCCCAACATCTCCAAGAGGTCCTCAAGAGGCCCGAAGAGAGCCCCATGAGCCCCCCAAGATGATCCCAGGAAGCTTCCAAGAGGACCCCAAACAGCTCCCCAGGGACCCCCGAGAGTCCTCTGAGTAGACAACAAGAAGCCTCCACGAGGAGTCAGACCCACAACCCAGACACGGTGGCAGCATCGGCCGAAGGCCGTTGGATGAGCCTCCACAAACAAGTATTTCGTCCATGTCTTCGTAGCCTGGATACCCGTACGCGCATATACACTGCACTCAACACGACAATTCAAAGAGCGGGAGGTCGATCGGAAAGATAAGAGCTGCAAACGCAGAATGGACCGACGACGATGTGGAGGAAGAGGAGGAGGAGGAGGAGGAGGAAGAGGAGGAGGAGGAAAAGGAGAAGGGGGGTAGCAGGAGGAGGAGGAAGAGGAGGAGGAGGAGGAGGAGGAGGAGGAGGAGGAGGAGGAGGAGAAGGAGGAGAAATAGAGAGGAGGAGAATGAGGAGGAGGAGGAGGAGGAGGAAGAGGAGGAGGAGAAGGAGAGGGAGGAGGAGGAGGAGATGCAGCAACATCAGCAGGGGCAACGACTACGCGGGCAGACGCCAGCGATCAGCATTATTGGCCGGCGGACTGAGCGAAGCGATTGAATCTTGTAATGCTGCCGTTGAATCAAAAACGCTACGCCGAGAGGGCGGGACACCTTGAGCACAGAGTGAGGGGAGAAGGGGTAGTGGCATGCATATGGCCAAACTGTGAAGGTGGGAAGCGCAAGGGCGGAGGAGGGCGGAGGAGGAAAGAGGATACGGGAGGAGGACCACCCCCTGTAGACGCCCCCACCTCCGCCTGCCGACGCTGGCACGAGGGTGGGGTGGGGAGAAGGAGGAGGTGGGGAGAAGGATGAGGGCTGAAGAGAAGCAAGAAGAAGGCAGAGGGAGGGAGGGAGGGAGAAGGATGGATGAGGAGGAGCAGTATGAGAAAGGGGGAAAGGAAAGAGAGGAGGGGCGGAGGAGGAGGAGGAGGAGGAGGAGGAAGAAGCAGGAGCAGGGATAATAAACAAATGAGGAAGAAAAGGCGGAGGTCCTCCTCATCTTCCTGTGCTCCAACCTCCTCATCTCCCTGCTCCTACTTTTCTCTCGCTTTTTCCTGCACCTCTTTGTCCTCCTCTTTCTCCTCCGCGCAACATGGGCCAGACGAAGGGGGAGGAGGAGAAGGAGGAGGAGGAGGAGGAGGAGGAGAAGGAGGAATTCGCTGGAATTCACGTCGCCGGCGACGCCGACGCCGCCGGCGCCCCTGCCAAAGCAGACGCCAGCGCCGACGACGACCCCAGAACCAACATGATCTGTTCACAGCATCGACCCCCAGAGGTCTCGACCCATTCCTCGGAGCCAATTTTCCATTCTGACGGCCGGAAGTATCAAACATCAAAACTTACCTCATGATCTTTTCACGACGCCAGGGGGTCTGGGATTGGCGTCGTCGAGGCCGCCGCCGGCACCGCCGACGCAGGCGCCGCCGCCCATGGTGATGCCCGACACCACCGCAGACTTCGGCGCCGAAGCAAACGCCAGCGCAGACGACGCCTGACGGCGCCGGCGCCACCGACACCACCGCTGGCGGCGGCGACGACGTCCAGCGGCCGCCGCCGACGCAGACGCAAGGCAGCGCTAACTCCGCGCTGACGGCGACCTTCGTTTCGCCATAGAAGCGTATCGTCCCCCGGGGTGTGTCAAGAGAGGTGGTGCGGCATCCCTTCACTGGAGGAGCCAAAAGGTACTACCGATACCGCTACTCCCCAGACCTCACCCAGGATGCGTTCTGACCACCGCTTCGAAGAGAATCCAGCGGTGACGACGAAGGCCTCCCAGGAGGCCCAACAAGGAAGGATATGGGTACCTTTTCCTCCTCCGATCCACTGAGTGGCCTAGATGGCGGCAGCGAGAAACCCACTGCGCTGATGGCGACTGGCGGCGCCGACGGCGACGGATGGCCGCCCCGGGCGGGCGCGTGATGGGGCCTCCTGCGGCGCCAGACCCGCGGCGCAGGCGGCAGGCGGCGGCTGCGCGGCGAGCTCCTGGCCGCGGGGCTGCGGGGAGTCTGGCTCCCAACTCCTCCTCCTCTTCCTCGTCCTCGTCCTCCTCCTCCTCCTCCTCCTCATCCTCCTTCTCCTCCTCCTCCCCGTCCTCCTCCAGCTCCTCATCCTTTTCATCCTCCTCCTCCTCCTCCAGTTCCTCCGGTTCCTCCTCCTCCTGCTCCTGCTCCTCCTCCTCCTCCTCATCCTCATCCTCCTTACCTAGCACCTAGCCTCCTCCTCCCCCTCCCACTCCTCCTCCTCCTCCTCCTCCTCCTCCTCCTCCTCCTCCTCCTCCTCCTCCTCCTCCTCCTCCGCTCCTCCTCCTCCTCCTCCTCCTCCTCCTCCTCCTCCTCCTCCTCCTCCCCCGGGACGGCGACGGCCGCGGCGGCGTTGGCGCCTCCGCCCCCTCCCCCCTTCCATCCATCGATGCTTCCTGTACTCCCCACGGCGGGGCGATGACGACGAATGCAACGACGACGACGGCCGCGGCGGCGTTGGCGCCTCCTCCCCTTTTCTCCGTCCATCCATCGATCCTTCCGCCCTGCCCCACGGCAGGACGATGACGATGAAGGCGACGACGACGACGACGACGACGACGACGACGACGACGACGACGACGACGACGACGACGGCCGCGGCGGCGATGACGACGACGATGACGACGACAAGGACGATGACGACGACGACAACGACGACGACGACGGAGGTGGCCCAGGCTCATAGTGATACCCAGAAGCGGCAGAGCAATGTACCCGTTGTTGGAAACTGCTTCTGGAACGTTGTTTGCTCCTGGACGTGGAGCAGCTGTTCGCTGCTCCGGGATTGGAATCGGCGGGACCGGAACCGGAACCCTAACTGTTCGGCGGCGAAGCCAATGGAAAAACGGCGCCAGAACGGGCAACAAAACCAGAGAACAGAACCTGTCTGCAAGAGCGGCCCTGTCGCTTCCAGGGCCCACCCGGGGCTCCGAGAGAGAGAGAGAGAGACGACCCAACGCCTGGGGTCCGACGGGCGGCCCATGCCACCCGCGCAGCACCTTCTTCAGAAGAGGAGGTGCGGGAGGCCCCCCACCTGATCGCCACGAGGACCGCGACGAAGGTGGCGTGGCGTGCGCTGCGGCACAAGACCTCGCAAAGTCGACCAAGGACCCCTTGCTGCCCGTCGGCCTCTGGCGGCCTCGGCGGTCTGCTCACGGCCTTGCCGGCGGTCTTCGGCGGTGTCGGTCTTCGGCGGCCTTCGGTGGTCGTTGGAGGTCTTTCCGTCGGTCTTCGGCGCGAGAGCTGTGTGGTTGCTTTTCGCACTGGCTCCGTGATTGAACGTCTGAGAATCGGCGGCGAGTAGGGGAGGGGAAGTGAGAAGGAGAATACCCTCTCAGAAGGCGGCGCGACTTCTCAGAAGCCCTCGCGCCTTCTGGGAGGTTTCCTGTGTCTTCTTGGAAAGCTTAGAATGTTTGTCAGAAGGCCGGTGGACTTCCGAGCCCTCTGAGAAGGCCCGCCCCTTCTCGCTTCCCCCCCTCGCTTGCCGCCGAAAGAAGACAAAACATTTCGTGTACAGTGTGCGTGCACTGCGCGCTAGCCATGTGGGTCAACACCTCACAGAGGGGTTCAGTGCCCCGAGGCGCGTCGCATTCACTGGAGGGCGTCTTGAACCGCCCAGGATTAAGACATCTCCGCATGATAGCACGATGTCTGTACGCGCGGATCTGGATACGTATGTTTCGTCGCTTGAAGAGCCCCTGATCAGCCTGTCTGCAATGCTTAGCTCCGACCGCGGCGTGGTTCCGCGCCGCTGCGAACCACAACGGTCTCGACAGGCTGTACGCATGGCGAGGTGGAGGCGGAGGAGGAAGAGGAGGAGGAGGAGGAACTGGAGGAACTGGAGGAGGAGGAGGAGGAGGAGGAGGAGTAGGAGGAGGATGAAAAGGATGATGATGATGATGATGATGATGATGATGATGATGATGATGATGATGATGATGATGATGATGATGATGATGATGATGATGATGATGATGATAATGATGATGAGGAGGAGGAGGAGGAGGGGGAGAAGAGGGAGGAGCAGGAGGAGGAGCAGAGGAGGAGGAGGAGGAGGAGGAGGAGGAGGAGGAGGAGGAGGAGGAGTCTTCTCCTGGCGGAGGCGTCCGAGATCGGTGGCCCGTCGCTGGCCCCTCACCGCGGCCCCCCCGAGGTCGGGCCCCCCCGCCTCTGCGGCAGCTCTGCGTGTGTGAGGGGCTGCTTGCCCCGCACCTGCCGCTCGGATTGGTGCCCACCAGCTGTGGCCCCGAGGTCCCGACCCCCCATGCTCCGCCTCCTCCTCCTTCCCTCCTCCTCCTTCTCCTCCTCCTTCCCCTTCTCCTCCTCCTCCTCCTCCTTCTCCTCCTCCTCCTTCTCCTCCTCCTCCTCCTCATTCCCTCCCCGGATGTGGCGTGTCGTCCCTCGCCGTGGCACCCGAGGTCGTGGCCCCCCCCGTCTGCGGCAGCTGTGTAAGGGGCTGCCTGCCCCACACACCTTCCGCTCGGAGTCTTGTCCACCATCTGCGGCCCCGAGGCCCCGACCCCCCCCCCTTTCTACCCAGATGTGGCCTTTCGCCCCCGATCCATGCTTTGTAGCCTCGGGGCCCGGCAGCGACCCCCAGAGTCAGAGCAAAAGGGGAGACGCATGGATGGAACAGATGATCGGGGGGCCACACTTGCGAGCCCTGCCCCACCACCCCGCGACGAGTTCTATAGGGGGGGGGGGTAGGGTTCGCATGTGGCCTCCTGATTCTGTGCTGGACGATCTGTGCACGGTCCATTGCCGCAAGGGGTGCAATGTTCTTGTGTCCTCTTCCTGCCGCCTCCACACCTTCAAGCTGTTGATAACGAGCGAGGCTCCATTTTGACCCCCGAAGGCGCCTGCATGCACGAAGAGCGCTCGGAGAGAGCCATGGAAGGGCCAATGGAACAGAAAGCCCCCTCCGAACCCAGACTCCTCCGTGCTCCAGCGTCCTGACTATAGAACTGCGGCTGGGCGCGGGAAAATCCCGAGCGACTGGCATATCCAAGTCCATGACCTCGCTGCCTGGGCACCAAGGCCTCGCCAACTGCTCGGACGTCATTCCCGGTGCTTCTTTTTTGTTCTGTTTTGTTCGCTTTCGTGCGCGGATCTTTCGCCAACTGATCGAGGATGCTCCTGGATGGTCCTCGCCGACGGAGAGACGCACGCGTCCGAGCGATGCCGAGAGGCGAGGTCCACGTCGTGCGCCAGCCCGCCGATTGCGACCCGAGCGGGGGCACCCGCGCAGCGCCTCCCCGCGGCCCGTGGGCCGCGGGCCGAGGCCGCGGCCGGGCCGCGAGGCCGTGCTCGTGGCGTGGGCGTCCCGCCCGTGGACGAGGTCGACGGAGGGGGCTCGGGGACACACGGCTGAAGGAACACACGGATCCCAGGATGCCCCACAGTTTCGAATCTGTGTCTGCTTCCTGCTGTTCTCTTCCTTCCCACGCCCCAAACTTTCCTGGGAGTCGACGAGGCCTCGGAAAAACAATAGCGAACACTCATGCCACTCATGCCTCGGACAAACATCTCGACGGGCCCAGGGACACACGACTGAACGAACTTTTTTGATTCGCGGGTCGAGAGCGCACCTCTTCCGGTCGAAGCTAGGCGGGCCGCGCGAAGCTTGAACAATACGAAGGAACGAACACACAGATCCCAGGATCCCCCCATATATTCAAATCTATGTTTGTTCCTTGCTTTGCTATGCCTTCCCACTTCCCATAGGTTCCTGGGAGTCGACGGTTCATTGTGTCTGTGTGTTTTTCCCCCCCCCCGAGTCGGACGAGGTCGACGGAAGGGGCCCAGGGACACACGAATGAATAAACACACAGATCCCAGGACCCCCCATACAGGCCTCGGACAAAAATAGCGAACACTCATGCCACGTTCATCTGTGAACGCCTCCCCCTCCCCCCAATATTCAAAGTTGGTGGTGGGTCTGATGTGTTGCACCTCGACCGCAGTCTCCCCCCGCGCGTGCCCACTTTGAGTTTGGGGGGCAGGGGGGGTGTTCACTAATTGTTTCCCTCTACCGTTTTTTCAAATATTTTTGTTCTTGCTTTGCTGTGCCTTCCCACTTCCCAGATTTTCCTGGGAGTTGTGTTTTGCCCCTCCTGAGTCGGGACGGGATCCATCGGCGGTCTCTTCGGCGGTGGAGAAACCTCCCTTTAGTAAAAACGGCCTCGGACCGAAACCGACGGACCTGGAGCCGCAAAAGTGACGGCCGCGACACTCTCTCGCGAACCGAAAATGGCCAATCCCTTAATCGACGTGTCAGGGTAGGAGGTCTATCAACCTGCGGTCTCTGGTAACCGGCGGGCCTGGATAACACATCGGGCGCCACGGCAGACCCAGAGCGTTCCAGCACGCTCTCAGATCGCTCCAGAACGGGTCACTCGCCATTCATTGTGTCTGTGTGTTTTTCCCCCTCCTGAGTCGGGATGGGATCCGTCGGCGGTCTCTGGTAAGCGGCGGGCCTGGATAGCGCATCGGGCGCCACGGCAAACCCCGAGCGTTCCAGCAAAAGCGCTCGGGTGGCTCCAGGACGGGTCACTCGCCATGGCTCGGACGTCGATTCCCCGTGCATGTTTCGAGCTCTTGTGCTCACTTTTAAATCGGGCCTGGCCCCCTACAGGGGGATTTTGGACGAAAAATTTAAAAATGTCAAACAATGTACTAAAATATGCAAACATGGACAAATAATCGTCCCCAGACTTTTTTTTACTATTTTGGAGCACTCCTCCTGTAGAGGGGCAGGCCCGACTTAAGCTTACTTGTTTTGGAAAGATGATCCAATCTGCTCCTCGAGGGCCCTCGCCGAGAAAAAAAATGCACACGTCCGAGAGATACCCAGGTCATCGTCTGTTGAGCAGGGACCGACCGTCCCGGCATTCCTGTAGTCCTACCAAGAAATGTTCTTAGAATCCAGAAATGCTACAATAACAAAACAATGTTCTTAGAACA